CTTTTTCATATTCCCATTACAACAAACCCTTTGGATGCATTGATTGAATTGAATCAAAGATTTATAAATTGAATGCAAGACTAAAATTGACATACAATGTCCAACAACTACTTGCATAAAATTCATTGAATGCAAACACAATCACACAAACATAAATCCTCTTTATTGATGAGGAAATTTTTTCTTGACACCACGGGGAAATAACATATAATCAATACATAATTTGTTGGAGCTATCTTATAATTTGTCTTTCATCTAAATAAGTTTGCACTAATACAAAACACAACAATGAGTTCTCTCTAACAGTGTATAAAACTCCAAACAAAAGCAAAGAAGGTTACAAAGACCAGACATAGTCAGTCAAAAACAACACTTTATTATAAGGAACATAATTAATTCATCATCCTTGGAAGATGTAACTAATTTGCACCTAGACGCAAACTATTAAACTAATACATTATTCTCCATCTCTGCTTCAAATTCCCAACTCTCATTTGCAATTGCACGGATTGCACTTGCAGTTGGAGCCGCACGTGCATCCATTCTCTGCACCCATCTCGGATTCGGATCCCTCAACATAGCTGAAGAATAATCACCAATTTTAGACCTTTTTTTTTGGCAAAAGGAAATCCTTTAATTAAATTGATGCATACGTTTTCTGGGGAGCAACGCCGAGAACCAGAGTCTCGATGGTGGTGGCGGCGACCTCTGAGTAACTCAAGTCTTGGTACATACCGCATCTGCACCAAATATATGAAAAATTTGATTAGGACATGAATATGAAAAACATCATATTAAAAAAAAACTGCACATCATAATTCATATGAATAAATCATTATACTTAAGAGAGATGACTCATATGAATCTTGATGATCCTCCACCAATTCCTCCAATTTTTTTGCTGCTGTATCGAAAAAGTAAATGTGGGCATATTCTAGGGCATCATCGCCATGGTCATCATTCTTCTACCATGAGAAGCGAGCGACAGATGTGACTAGATTCCATTGTCTTCTCCATAGATCACAACCGATTGATATTATTTAGGGAGGAGAGAAATATACAGAGATAAAAGAGAGAGAAATAGGAAATAAGAGCATCAGGGTTTAGTCTTAAAATTATTGAAAAGATACAGTATTTTATACTTTGTAATTACTTTTGACATGATTTTTCAAAAGTGCCTGGTATTTAGGGTATATAGTCTAATTTCCTCATAATGAATTTTCAACTACGGGCAGCCCATA